CTGCGTGTTTTTGCTCACCGTTGCGACCCCGACCTGTTGCTGGCATCGGTACGATGACGACATGCCGGCCCCCCCCTTTCAGTTGTGGAGCGGCCCGCGAAGTGCGTGAGCGGTTCTGTACCTGCAGTTCACCCACTCTCAACGTGGTCTGGCTGTGGCAGGTCCAGTCCTGGCCGCGCCTCTACGCCTTCCAGCTGGCGGCGGCTGCAGCGTACCTTGGCGCCCTCACCCGCTACCCGATGGCAGCAGTACTGACGCCTGGGCAGGCGCGTCCTATCATCGTGGTTCAGACTCGTGAGTGGTTTCGGAGCTGCTGGCTGGTCGGCCCCACCATGGGCAACGGTGTGGTTCGCGGAGTGAACACTCTGTAGGTTATTGCCTCTTCTGCCCCGTCTGCGCCGACATCGTTACGGCTTCGGCCGCGCGGACTGGCGCCACCAGGGCGACTCTCCGCTCCTGAATGTAGAGCATTTTGCTTATTGCACGTGCGTTTGCTTTCATTGCATGGCCTACAGCAGTTGCTTCTGTTGTAGTTCTGCGAGCTGGCTCGCCGACACTGGCGGCCGTGTTCGCACATTCGCACCGTTCCGCCGCCCCGGACGTCGCTCCCGCTCCCTGACGGTCGCCTTGGAGCCGCTAACCAAACAAAAATAACTCCACCAGTCTCCTGTGCGCTCTCGTGTGGAATTTGGTCCGCTGCGGGTTAGCCGCGTTTCTTTACGGCGCCTGGCCTCCCTTGCGCGCTCGCGAACAAAAAGTAGCCCCACCAGCCTTGGCTACTGCATGTCTACTGGATCTCGGTGGCTGCTGGTTCCTCTCGGACACCTTCTCCGGCAAATTGCGTCCTGGGGTTCCTGGGCCGGCTGTTCTCCCATGTGTGTGGCCGCTCTCCCCTTCTACACCTGCGTCCTAATCGGCACCTTGATGGACGGGCTCTCGGTGCCGTTGTGTGATGCCTCCCGCGCCCTCTTGGCTTCGTCGTGACCAGTCCCGCTCTGTGACGGGCGCTGCTCGCCTCGCTGTTTTTGTTCCTTTGCTTCGGCGCGGCCCGCCCTAGCTCGCTCGGAGTTCGACTCGTCATTGCGCGCCCGCGTACCAAAACAAGTAATTCCATCAGCCCATCCAAAAACGGTGCCCAGGCGAGAGGTCCTGATCGGAGAAATAAAGAGCATACAGAGAAATCAAGGGCTGGCGAAGCCGTCCTACCCAAACAGAACGGAGGATGGATGAAACATAAAATGAGAAGGAGGAGGACGAAGAGGAGGAGGAAGAAGAGGATGAGGAGGAAGAACAGGAAGTGGAGGAGAAGGATGAGGACTTCTCCTAGGTTGTAGGTTTTTTTTTTGTTTCGGGGGCCTCCGTGGAAGGCTCCGTGCAAGATTGGAACCGTCTTGGAACGGTCTTGCGGCATCTTGGAACATTTCGGAAACTTTTGAGCCAGCTTGGGCCACCGTGAGCTATCTTGGAGGTCATCCCGGGCTCTGTGGGGCGTTCTTGGGGCCATCTTGGGCCCCACAGGATCTTTTGACATGTCGCGAACCCCCCCTTCCAAGTCAAGGGGAAAGGGTAGGGGAAGGGGTCACGCTACCCACCCGCTTGCAAGCCGACTAGCTCAGTCCCATCCGCCCTCCCAGCACATGAGTCACACCCGAGCCTGAACATGGTTGCGGTCGTCTTTGGATGGGGAGCTACTGGGATCCAAAGCCGACCCCAGGTGCGCGACGCTTGGGCGAGGTGCGCCACGCGTGCCAGGGGCGCCACGCGCTCTGGGCACCCCTAGGGCCCGAGCGTGCCAGGCACGCCTGGTGCGCCAGATGCGCCACGTGCTACGGGTGCGCCAGGCGCGCCGCAAACTCCAGCCGCGCCAAGTGCGCCACGTTCGGGGTACGTGCAGAGTGCGCCGGGTGCACCTGCGCACGTGACACCATTCATCGGGAAGCATGTCGGCCCCCACCATCCTTGTAGAAAACCTCTGCCCATCATTGTGTCTGGCGGGCTTGTGCACAGCAGGCTACGGGCCACCACCCCCGCCGTCCCTGTCGAAAACCATGTGACACTGATCGCGGGGTGGCCGCGCATGATCCAGATTCAGCCACGAGGTGCATGTTGTATTGTCTTTGTCAGAGATGGTAGACCTGCGCGCAGCAGGGACTATGCTGACACCCCCGCCGTCCCTGTCAAAAACCATACAGAGTGCTCGCGGGCCTCACGAACATGATTCAAGACTTTGTCCCAAATTGTATTTTGCGTTGTTGTTGATCGGGATGGTGGAGGGGGCCGCATCGGATTGGCCGTGCATGCTCCAAATGTGGAGGCAAAGTGCGTTTTGCATTGTTTTCTGAAACGGATGGTGGGGGGTGGCCCGCATGGGGTCGGCATGGTTTCGGGTTGGCCGCCAGCCCCCAGGAACAGAGATAAACCCGTCCCCGAAGGGGAAGAAGGGTGTCAGAAGAGAAAACTTTCTAGACCACCTACGCCCAGAGGGCTGGTGGGATTCCGATGAGCATGGCAAGAACGCGCCATTCGTATACACTTCCTCGGGCTCCTTGGTGGTTTCTTTGGCCCGTTAGGGGGCTTTTTGGGGACATATTGGAGGCTTCTTGGGGGCCCCTGGAAGTTTCTTGGGAGCCCCGGCCTCTTGGGGGCCTCTTGGGCCGTCTTGGGGCGCTATTGTGCCGTCCGGCCCTCTGGAGGCCGTCTCGGGGGCCTCTTGGGGCCGCCTTGTGGCTCTCTTGGGGTTCTTTTGGGCCGTCTTGGCGGCCTCTTGAGCCTTCTTGGGGCCTCTGTGGGCCATCTTGGGGCCCTCTTGGGCCGTTTTGGGGCCCTCTTGGGGGTCTCTGGGGCCGTCTCGGGGCCATCTTGAAGGCTGCTTGGGCCGTCATGGGCCCCCGTCATGGGCCGTCATGGGCCCCCGTCGGGAACATATTAAACCAACCCATCGGAGAATCAAGGTTTGTGGCCGAGGGGCCCTCGTGGGCCGTCTTGGGAGTCTCTTGGGCCCTCTAGGGGCCATCTTGGGCCGTCTTGAGGCCGTCTTGGGGTTCCCGGAAGCTGCATTGAGCCGTCTTGAGGCCCTCTTGGGCCCCACAGGAGGCCCCAGAGGCCGATAGCATAGATCTTTCATACGTTTTGGTTGGTTTGTGGACACTAGGGGGGGACAACTTGGTCCGCCGACGTGTCGCTACTCCAAATGGGGTTGGGTGGGAGACGTGATAATTGAAGAGAATACAACATGTAGCAATAATGTAAGATAGGATACATTGGACACGTTGCGTTGAGGCGTTGCCCAGAAAGCGCTTCCGCTCAGTACGTCATTTCGAACGTGTATTCAAGAGGCTTGCCATTCCGCCGACCACGTGAGAATGAGGGAGAAAGGGTATGAAGAAGATGAAATGGAAGACGACGAGTGGGGATGAGCCCTTCGGGGTATGTCGCTGGGGCCCTCATTGTTCCACGTCGTTCGGGCAGGGTTCCAGGCTGAGGGGTTGTAGGAGGGAGCCGGCCGTGATCCGAAGACCTCGCCGGAAGTGGCAGATGCTTCCAATACACGCTCATGGCGTCGTCTTGGAGGCGGTTTTGGGGTGTCTTGGGCGCCTTTCGGGGGCATCTTGGATGCCTCTTGGGGCCTCATCGGAGCCTCTTGGGGGCCGCCTGGGGCTTCTGGGAGGCATCTAGGGGACCTGATGGCGGTCTCGGGGGTCATCTTGAGACGAAGGGCTCGAACTGTCGATTCGTGTTTTTCCTCTTGCGATGCTCGTGGTGCCGTCTTGGGCCGTCTTGGGAACATCCTGAGCCGTCTTGGGGCTCCCTTGGGCCGTCTGGGAGCCCTCTTGGGGGGCTCTTGGGCTGTCTTGGGGCGATCTTGGGAGCCTGCTGGGCCGTACAGGCAAAAACTGTAACATATGTCAAAAACTGTTGGGAAATAAATGATTTGGCCTCTTGGAGACATCTTGTGCCGTCTTGGGACCATCTTGGGTGTTTTTGCTCAGTTTCCTCAACGTGTTGGAGGCCAGCTTGAGCGAGCCTAGATGGCTCAATGGGCATGATGGAGGCCACGGAGTGTAGATTTGGAGGCCCTGGGGCCCCAGGTGGTGCGCGTTGACGAGCTTTGCCCCCCTCCCCCCCACCCCCCCGCTCCTCCCCCCTCCTCTACTAGGATGTGGGCCCCCTGGCGAGGGGGAAAAGGGAAGGAGAACAGCCAAATGTTATTCCCGCTGGGTTTTAGGTCTTGGAAGGATTTTGGCCTCTCGGAGCCCCAGGGGACTATTCGGACGAACCCCTGCCGACCTATCGAGGTTGGACGGACCCCATCGGATATCCCCTAGCTGGTCCCAAAATTTGATGTCCCGTCGAAAACTCTACAAGTCGCGGATTGGGGTCGCTTCACTCCCCGTTGCACGATCGCCAGGTGCGCCCAGCAAGCGCGCTCACCAGTGCGTGCGCGCGGGCGGACGGATCGAACCGTGTGGTGTGGGCGCTGCGTGACGCAGGGGCAGAGCGTACACAGCATCCAAATTGTTATCAAACCGACGCCTTTCCGATGAGTGGGAGCGCTTGGGGCGACGGGGCACCGTTCGCGCTCTGCCTGCCGCAGAGCCTTCCGACCCTCCCTCCTCCCCTTCTCCCACCCCTCTCCGCCCCTCCCTCCCTATTCCCTCCCTCCCGTGCCCCCTCCTCCTGCCAACGCGCCACAAACCACTTCCTCCACCGCGTGGGCAAAGGTGGCCCACCAGAGGCAGGCGGAGCCTCCGACGGTGCCAGAAAGAACTGAGCTGTGACATTTCTGCAAGACATACGTGAAGCAACACGGATACTGGGCGACTCGGCCTCTTCAGGCCATGCGCCGCCAAGCTCCGGCACGCATTATTCGGAGGAGGAGGAGGAGGAGGAGGAGGAGGAGGAGGAGGAGGAGAAGGAGGAGGAGGAGGAGAAGGAGGAGGAGGAGGAGCGGGAGGAGGGAATGGAGGGGTCGCGTTGTTCGTCGTTGTCTCCGGCGGGAGGAGTGGGCACGGCTGGATCCGAAGACGTTCTGCTTGCGGCAGAACCACAGGCAGGCAGGCGACGCCAGCTTCCAGGATCTGCTTCGCGGGGTCCGCCGGGGCGAGACGCCAGAGGCACCATCTTGAGGGCGACGACCGCGGCGGCGACGATGCTGCTGCTGATGACGATGACGATGACGATGACTATCACGATGACGACGACGATGCTGATGATGATGATGATGATGATGATGATGATGATGATGATGATACTGATGTTGATGATGATGATGCTGATGCTGATGCTGATGATGATGATGATGATGATTAGGATGATGAAGGTGGTGATGATGATGATGATGGTGGTGGTGATTGTGATGCTGATTAGGATGATGAAGGTCGTGGTGATGGTGTGATGATGGTGGTGATGGTGATGATGATGATGTGGATGATGCTGTTGATGATGACCATGCTGATGATGTTGATGATGATGATGATGATGATGATGATGATGATGATGATGATGATGATGATGATGATGGTGGTGATAAAACTGATGATGATGATGATGATGATGATGATGATGATGAGGAGGAGGAGGAGGAGGAGGAGGAGGAGGAGGAGGCTGATGATAATGAGTAAGTGCGTCGGCAGAATGTGCGGCGGCGACAACGACAGCGGGATTCGGGGTTTGTGAGTTGATGCTGTTGTGCGTTCCTTGCCCCTTTTGGGCCTTCCAGACGCCACCTGAGGAGCCCAGGGAGGGGAAGACGTCCAATGGGAGGAGGACGAGGAGGAGGAGGACGACGACGACCACGAGCAGGACAGCGCGAAGGGGAGAATATGAGAATGCAGGAGGAGCGGGGGAGAGGGGGAGGAGGATGGAGGACGGAGGAGGACGCAGGGAGAGGGCGGAGGAGGAGGAGCAGGAGGTGGAATAACTAGAGGAGGAGGAGAGGAAGAAGGAGAAGGAGGAGGAGGAGGACGACGACGAAGAGGCAGCAGGAGGAGTACATCCCTTCTCCTCGTCCTGCCCCTGCTGCTCCTCCACATCATGCTGCCTGCTCCTCTTCCTTATCTCCCTGCTTACTCTCCCTCATCGTCCTCCTGTATCCCATCCTCCACCTCTCCCCTTCCCCCTCCTCTTGATTCTCAGCATCCCTCCTATCTCCTCGCTTTCCTTGCACCCACTTGCTCCTCCCTCCCCTTCCCCCCTCCTGCCTCCTCCTGATCATCTTCCTTCCTCCTCGGACCTCCTCCCTTCGACGTCCTCCCACTACGTTTTGCAATCCTTTCGTAATTCATGTTTTTACTCCCCTTTTGGTCTTCTCTCCTGTTCCTCCTCCTCCTCCTCGTCCTGCTCCTCCTCCTCCTCCCTTCCCTCCCTCTCGTCCTCTCCTCTCTCTCACCCCCATCACCCCGCGCGCGCGGAAGCACGTGCGGGCGGAGGAGCAGGAGGGAGGAGGAGTGCACGCGCCGGAGCGCAACAGTTGCTCTGAGTCGGCCGGTACCGAACGGTCTACAGTTTCGGATAGCCGCGATCGATTCAGGTCGGACGATCCACGCGGCGTCTGCAGAGATCAGCGCCGACGTCGTGACGACACGACACGAACTTGCTGTCCCAGGCATCCGCCGCTACAGTGTTTTCGATGCGTGGGCCCCTGGACCTCTCGACGACTTTCCCAAGGCAGGCGTTTCATCCTGAGCAGTATGTGTCGACGGCCCCGGGGCGCGAAGCCAGCCTCCAGAGGCCAAACATGACGAACCAGCCGCTTCGATTCGTTGGAGGCGTCTGCTGGTGTCTGGGAAGGAGGCCCTCGTAGTCGTCTTCGTCGTCGCCTTCGGCTGCGCGGCGACGACGACGTCGAGGGGGAGGAGGATGACGCCGGGCAGGATAACGATGTGGGAGGAAGAGGATGATGGAGGATTGGTAAATTTTGCTCCCGCCCCAGATCCTGACCCCCAGAGGTCCCTGAAGGCCTCCGGGGAGACCCGACAAAGACCAACAACGACAGAATGATATGCAACTCGAAGATGTAGGAGGGAGGTGGGGGGGGGGGCAAAAGGAGGGTCGAAGGCATAACTTAGTTATGGATGCAGGAGCGAGGAGGGGGGGGCAGTCGGGAGGAGGACGGCGGAGCAGGACGGAGGACGGAGGGGGGACCGCCGCCGCCGCTGGCGACTCCGCGCATCCCGCGAGGCGCTGCGCAGCGCAGGCGCCCCGCCGAAGGGGAACGGCCAGGCCACGCGCCTCGTCTGCACCAACGCCGAGGCCAACTCCGAGAACTCGGACGGTTACCGGCCTGAATCATGCTGTCAGCGGAGCGGAGTGTTTGTTCGTTGTGTCGCGCTGGCAGGTTTTGGCCCAGCACGCTTCGGCGCGGCACGCTAACCACGTCCGAGTCCCCCACAAGCGTCAACGTCCCGATCGTTCCCCAGCCTTCCGTCCCGCAAAGCGAAGCGGAGCGACACGCTATCAGCTGGCAGGGCATGGCGCATGGCGTGAAGCAGGGGTCGTCTCCGCGGCACGCTAGGCATTCTGATCCCCAAGATTAGTATCCTCTCTGCTCGATGCCGATCTCGAGGCTTCCCCCACTCTTTCTGTGGGCGCATCCCTAAGATTGGAAAGCATGTGTTCTACCGCTGCTTGCGGAAAACCCGGGGGGGTCACTACCGGTTCGAACCCCTCTCCCCACCCCCCTCCGGAAAACCGGGGGTGGTCACTACCGGTTCGAACCCCTCCCCCCCCCCAGTTCATCATGAAAAGGGGGGGTCACTACCAGTTCGAAGCCCCCCCCCTCGAATTCGAAAACCCGGGGGGGGTCACTACCGGTTCGACCCCCCCCCCCTCGAAAACCGAGGGGGGGTGCGGACAGTGGTGGGGACGGTGGTGGTGGGGACAGTGGTGAGGGGACAGCCGGACAGTGGTGGGGACAGTGGGACAGTGGTGGGGACGGTAGTGGTGGGGACAATGGTGAGGACAATGGTGGGAACAGTGGGGACAGTGGGACAGTGGTGGGGACGGTGGTGGTGGGGACAGTGGTGTGGGGACAGTGGGAATGTGGTGGAAACAGTAGGACAGTGGAGGGTACAGTGGTGGTGGGGACAGTGGTGAAGGCGGTGGCGAGGACGGCGGTGGGACAATGGGACAGAGGTACAGTGGGGACAGTGGTGGGGACAGTGGGGACAGTGGTGGGAACAGTGGGACAGCTCAGTGGGACAGCGGAGGAGTCAGTGGGACAGTGGGGACAGTGGGGATAGTCGGG